AAAGAGAAAAAAAGTTATTTTATTTAATCCTTTATTCTATTTTATAATTTTATTTTTGGTTTGTTTATTGTTATTAAATGAATACAGACATGCAGCTGCTATTCCAATGAATTCCATAAAAAAAATACAGTTGAAATGAAAAACGCCAGAGGGACAACACATTAAAATTAAAGACTTTTTAAAAAAAAAAAATATTGTATTTAAAAGTTGTTGCACTAATTAAACCGAACAAAACTGTAGTGAGATTTACAGTATCCTCAGGTTTGTATTTGTTACAGTGTGACCGAACACAGCTGCGTCCCCTACAGGTCATCATTCATAATGAAAACGTGGGGACAAAAAATATACTCTCTGACTTTGTGTAATTGAGTATTCAATTATTTATCTACAGGTGTTTTCACATCGCCTTAAATACCAGATCACCACGAGCTTCACTCTATGGTTTATTTATAGTCTTCATCACAGCACTGCACACTGGAGCTGCTGCTGCACTGGATCGACGGTAGCCAATTCAGCACACAGCAGATTTACTTGAAAGTACAACGAGACTGGACGAGGTGAAATAAATATGTTTGTGTGCTGGTCATTGATATCAACTCTATAGACAAAAACCCGTACAGATATTTTAATCAACATTATGTTTTGTTGCTGTAAACTTTTCTACTATCTGTGAATTACCTTGTGAAGATGCACTACTGTTATTTCTTTCTTCTTTTTTTTTTTTTGAGAAATGTGTCAGTGGAAAGGTTTGAGAATGTGAACAAAGAGATGCAATAAAATACTTTTTCTAACAAAAAGTTTGGTTTCCCTTGGATTAAATTGAATGAAATTGTAGAGGGAAGGTGAGTGAATCCATGCACAGAGCACAGAGCACAGTAAAGTGTTTTTAAAATGCTGGAATGTGACGCAAATGTGGGTTCCAAATGGATTCATTATGAATTACACACATAGACACATATATGTATATATTTAGATATATACTATATATATATATATATATATATATATATATATATATATATATGTCTAATGCAGCCAAACCATTTAAAACACAAAATAGTTCATGATAAGTTTTCACCAAATAATCCAAATTCTATATATTTAAATGTTTGTTTTAATAAAATCAAATATTACCTGTGTGATATTAAACAACAAATACAAGATCATTTTCAACCTACTGTAACACTGACAGGCCGTGGTCCTGTCGTCAGTTGTGCTGGAGTTGTACTTATTTGTTAAAGGAAGAGCAGCACTTCATCAGGGCTGAATGTAGTGAGTTTCACTGAATACAGGGTTAAACAAACAGGTATTCATGGAAAAAAGGAGTCAACACACATGTTTATCTTGAAACTTTCCAGTTTTCCAGTTCCATCCAAAGGATAATATAGTATAAGGTTAATGACGCAAACAAAAATTATTATCTCTGCTGGTTGTAAAAAACTTTTTACCCAGAATTCCTTTAAGAACATTCAACCCTGTAATATATAATAATTTTAATACCTTTGTAAATAATTTTACAAAGGTATAATTTTTATCCTAACAACATTTTTTTAATACATATTTTCTGTCGGTGTATTAATCTTCACAAATGAATTAACAAAACTAAAATGTTCATTTTCGACGGCCTTGGTTGTCAGTGATGTTTAGGCTAATTCCTCGTTTAGTTTCCGTGATAGCTTCTTGTAAAATGTAGAGTGAGATTCCAATGACAGAATCCAGACAGAGTTAGGAATCACACCAACGTTATCTGTGCTTTCGGAAATGATGACGTGGAGATGTTGTTACGACTCTCTCTCAGCTGTTGCTCAGGCCTGGGAAAGCTCTCCCAGCGGCAGACGGCCACAAGACCACTGGCAAGATCCGGAAATATTTAAGATACAACAAACACTTCACCATCTGCCAGACTATCTTCACACACATACCGTGAGTCAAGACCCTGGTGGTTGAAACCATGTCAGGTCGGCTAACTGGGATACATTCTCATATGAGTAACAGTCTCAGTTTTCTTATGAGCTGAGAGGCTGATAAGATATCACAGCTAGTGCGGTTTCTAACATCTGTACTTTTGACGTTAGCGTAAACAACGTCTCTAAACAACGTACGTCTCAGATGTCAGGAGATTTATGGGGAAAAAACACTTTCTTGGGAATTTGAGTCTTATTGAGTCAGAAAAGAGGAAAGAGAAAAAAAAGTTAAAGACGTGACGAAGTCAAACATCACATCCCCTCAAGTCTGTTTTCAATTAGCCCGTCCTCCCCCACCCAGTCTGGGCCTCTCTCACCCCCTCCTCCCTCATGGAGAACTTTCAGTTAGAGCACATATGGGGAAGCACGTTTGATCTGAACAGGAAGCATGAGCAGGACTCATTCTGTCACCTTGTCTGAACGGCAGCACACAGCCCAACTGCAGTAGCTTCCTGGACATGTGAAAACCATCGCAGTCGTTACAGTGTTCGCTGTAATGATGTCTGTACTGACGTCATAATGAAAACAAGGTGACATCAAAAGGAGTGAAAAGGTGAGAGTTTGAGGATACTAGGATACAGCGGTGACTAAATAGCTATATATATATATACTGTATCTATACAATTTTGGGGGGTTTTTCTGCCTCTGTGATGGCAATACCAAAGTGCGTAGTGAACTGAACTGGCTTTTCTGCACTGTTACACCCTATTTGAAATAATGATATTACATAAAAACAGTTTGCAGTAAAGAACCCTGGATACTATAAAAAAAAACAATTTCCATTAGATCATATGGAGTCATTTGGACCAGAGGGCGTTAACCAGCGTTTATCTGACAACCTCACAGTGAGCTGCAGCTGCACACTCATGCTGCAGTCCTGCCATCATTTACTGGAAACGACGCAAAAACACAGTTTGAAGCTGCGTGCTCTTCCTAAAATGTTTGAAGTCACGCAAAGAAAAGAGTTGGCCGACATGTCACACAGTAAGTTAAACACAAGTTATAAATACAGGCACGGCTAAAGAACTCCCCAGGCTAATTTTAAAACAAAAAAAGAAAAGAAAACCTCTTCCGGTGATTTTAAGAATTATGAGGATTATTATTCAGGGATTCCCCATCAATCATCTCACTGTGAGTGAAATATGCACTTGAGGCGTTTCTCACCCTCACTTCAACCATCGTCAACCATCGTCAACTGTTGAGGTAACAAAGATAGGAGTGATGTGAGAGGATGATAAGTTGCTGCTAAACTGTTGAATGTTTTGTATCATAACTCAAACACAAACATAAAAGAAAAATAACCTCTCAAGGCTCCAGGCTTCACAGAACATTCACACCCTGCACACACACTTGTTGGAGATGAATCAGTCATCAGTGACCTTCCAGGCTCGACCTTCCAGGGTTGATCTGAAATTAACAAGACTATGGAGAAGGTTAAAGAGCTTTGTTAAGCAACTGGACATGACATTTTCTCAAGGAAAACGTTCCACCTCTCATCCAAGAGGCTTCTCCAGTCCTAACTGGTGGTGGACGAGATGTGAAACGAGAGTTTCTTCACATCCAGTTGCCTCAAAGAACTCTTCAACCTTGACCATGACCTGGATGACTGAGATTCTTCATAGACAAAACTTTGGGAGGAAAAAAACTCAGTTCATGTGGAACTGTAAATTAACCAATTAAAACAGGGGTTCTTAACCTTTTTTGACCTTTGACCATTTAATATTTACATGACGATTTAATTGAAGTCATTTTGTTTGACTTGTGAGGAACAAAAATCAAATCCACTTACAGTTCAAAAAGCAAAAGGCTGTATTTGATGAAATCGGAAAAAGGTAGTTGCACAATGGAATGTAAAAGGTTCTGAGTCAGATGCCACAGTTTTGAAATATTGAACTCCAACTAACAGACACATGTCACCAACAGTTTTGACATTTTGAACCTTTATCATTATGTCTTTGTCGAGTTTCTTTTTATCAGATCAGGTTTTCATGTCTTGAACCAGATCTGAAAACAATATTATTGAAAGACCTCCATGAATCCTATGATTACGATGATTGTCCAATTAAAAAAAAAACCTCTCACGTGTGTAGACCAGTGTTTCCCAACCTTTTTTGAGCCACGGGACAAATATATCATCAAGAGAAACCCCACGGCACATCACCAAACAAAAATCTCATGTAATGAAATATAATAATATTCTAGTTTAAATTTACTAAAAATCTGCTCCTGTTAAGTTTAAGACAACGCTCATATAGTGACAGGAATTGAAGAAAGACACAAAGATCTTCTTCAACAGTTCTGATTATCTTTTCTTAGTTTTAAAAACCACCTGCTGCCACCTAGTGGAAGAGGATTTAATTGCTCTGTCTGTCACGTATTCATGAATAAATAAAACATAGTTTTGGGACCAATTAAGTGACATTGGATAATTTTCCGTGGCACACTAGACAAATCAAGCAAGTCTAGAGAAAGAGCCTCAATATTTTCCATAATAACATTTTTTTAATTTGTCCTAGAACTTTTTATCCTCTGTTCTATATGTTGGTCTGGTAATGCACAGATCTTGAGAAATTTTCAGGGTTTTTTTATGTTGAATTTTAAATTGAATTTTGACTTTGTTAAATACTGCACCAACAAATGGTTTCTTCAAAGAACTATTAGACCATGATATAACAGCATCGTCAGCAAAAGGGTAGGAGTAACTGGAGGTGGCAGAAGAATTGTAATTATCTGATAAACAGTTTGTTTTAACGCAGCTTTCTCGTAGTTTTCTGTAGAAAAAGAAATCACTAGCTCTGAGAAATGAGTTAATTCCCTCAAGCATTGACCAAACCTGTCTAAACGAAAGTGGTTGCAGCTGAATTTCTTGTTATTAGGAAAAGGCAACTAAGGACAATAACCAGAAAATGGGAAAGATGTTTATTGCACAAAAAGTAGGCTTGAGATCAGTAGTCTTATGAGTTATGAGTCAAAACCTGAAATTTTTGGGATAGAATAACCTACATTATATCATGAGGAAATACGCCGATGACTCACATCCACCAGAGTTCTTTACGTACTTTAGGTCTGATTGCTATTATTCATCAGTTCCCTTTAATCCATTAACCTTGGTCTGAGCCGCTCAATGAGGAATAAAACTACAATGACACAGCGTGCTCCTGGTCCACACACCAACAGAGTTTCTCTCACCCTCAGTGATCGACCAATGTGATTCAGACATTATATCGCAGGGCTGTGTTGAGAGTTCCTGTTGGAAAATCTTTCACAATACATCAGCTCTTTGTCCTGGCAACCAAGCAACTCTTTGGAAAAAATACTTTAAGTCACTTGTTCAAATGACAAGTTGTACGTTGAGTCATGTCTGACTATATTTAGTTACTCCACGAGTGCTTTATAAAGGCAGCACAGCCCTGTCAGTGCACTCACAATGAGCTTGTTCCACCAGGGAGACATTGTTCCTGAAGTCTGGATCATTGGCTTCAATAAAGACAGGACTGTGTTTTTTTTTCCAGGTATACACATATACAGTATATACATATATAAATATATAAATTTCAACATATATATAAAAATAAATTAGGTGAATATATATAAAAATATATTGAACATGGTGCACTTACAGTGAAATGGTATGTGTATGTATAGATATATATATATATATATATATATATATATATATATACCCATACCATATATATAAATATACATATAAGGAGTTAAATAACGCCCTTGTGATTAAATGGTTAAGGTGGCGTCCTAATCTGGGACAGTTGCATATTTTACATTATTATTATATAAAGCATATAAATAAATAATATATAATATTATCTATTATTTTATATGCATTTAATTCAACTGTAAAAACTGAGATAAAATATTTAAAAAGCTGCTCTATAATAATAATAATAATAATAATAATAATAATAATAATAATAATAATAATTATTATTATTATTATTATTATTATTATTATTATTATTATTATTATTATTAAAAAATAACTTGTTCTTTTATTTTTTTATCTACATATTTGGTTGATGATGGGAGTTTTGGTGCGGAGACAGGACGTCAGTGGCTCTAAGAGCAGACTGTGACTCAGCTGTCTGATACAGTATCTTCTTGTACCTGGAACCAGGAGCCACAGTTCCAGCTTTGTAGTTAATGAAGCCAGAAAGGAGGTTCTGTGTTTCCAATTATAAAAACCAAAACAACAGTGTTCTTTGAGATAAATCACCTGGGCTTCTGTTGGCTCTGATTTGCTGGAAATTAGAAAAGATCACGCAGTAAACGTTTGGTTCCTTCTGGCTAAAGGAACGTACTGACTGTTGATGTTTCTTAGTTTTTAAGAAATGTGCATTTTTTTAAATAAAAGAAATTCAATGAAAATTAAATATATTCTAACATTCTAGTACTTTAAATAATAATATTAATAATAATAATAACTATTATTATTATTAACACTGACACTATAAACCTGCACAGGTGCCATTAGGTACAAAATAGAATCAGTTTTCAGTAAAGACCACAGACTACAGCACGAAGACCAACCTGAATGTACGGTGGGGAATGAGTGTTGAAAACATGCTACTGCACTCCATTACCTGTGAGGAAGCCAAGCAGCGTCTCTTCTTTTGGTGAAAGAAAAAAAGAATGATCAACCACTCAGGTGAGGCTAGTTTCACGACACGTCTCCCTGTGGTCAGTCAGGAGAGTATCTAAGAATTCATTGGAATCTGTTCTTTTTCTACGGCTTTTTGGTTTATGTTGATCACAAGTCAAACTGAGTGAGGTCAATTAAATCGTCAATTATGTCAATTAAATATTAAATGGTCAAAGGTCAAAAAGGTTAAGAACCCCTGTTTTAATTGGTTAATTTACAGTTCCACATGAACTGATTTTTTCCCCCCAAAGTCTTGTTAATTTCTGACCCTGGAACGTCGATCCTGGAAGGTCACAGATGACTGATCCGTCTCCAACATGTGTGTGTGAAGGGTGTGAATGTTCTGTGGAGCCTGGAGCCTTGAGAGGTTATTTTCCTTTTATGTTTGTGTTTGAGTTATGATACAAAACATATAACTGTCAATTTATCATCATCTCACATCACTCCAATGTTTGTTATGTCAGTTGACGATGGTTGACGTGACAAACGCATATTTCACTCACAGTAAAGAAGGAGGAGGACATTTGAAGTATTTGTTAAAAAATATTTTACTAAAACATTTACTTGAACATTTACATATATATGACATAACTGAAGAGAGCGAGAGAGAGAGGGAGAGAGAGAGGGAGAGTGAGAGGGTTAGCTAATGTTGGGCGCTTGTAGTACAACCGACTACCTGAAATAGCAGCATAGTACAATGTAACGTACGAATTTCTGCCCCCGCCCCCGTAAAACATCCACAGCTTAGAAATCGAGAGCTACTTGAAGGACCTTTAGTAATACGAAGAGCTGCCTGTTTGATACAGACTTCCCGAACAATGTAATAATAATATTAAGCTCTCGGACATACAGTATTAGCCACTTTTCTTACCATCGTCATTGCACTCATCTGAATATCATTACAAGTGTAACTGATTCAAAAAGTAACAGTAACAGTACCATTTTTAATCCCCTTGTTGACTAGACACCCATGGGGGCTACCACCAGGTAGGTGACTCGTCACGCCACTTTACAGCGGGGCAACTGTTACAGTGTTCCTCCCTCCTCAAAAAAGATCGTTTCCCCAGAATTAACTGAAGAAACTGAAACATAGTTACTTCAGGGGAAACGATCTTTTACGTAACAAAATATTCACTGTAACACAATTAACCAACCAGTCCCGCTGGGAAAAAGTCCCGCTGCCTTCACAAAGTTTACAAGAAGTTTAAGGGCAATTTAAGCTTCTTTTTAAAAAATGAGTATAGAGCCACACTGTGGCAACTTTGGGAATAACAATCCCCTTCTGACAGTCACAAAAATGTTATCCAGTGCCTGCATTTTTAAGGTGCAAGATTCAGATTGGAGTTGGGATTAGAATTAGGATCAGATTGGTGTTAGGGTTAGGGGCTCGGTAATCCATCATGGTCTTCGTGAAGTGCTCACCACAGACAATGTTTTCATTGTCACTGACTTCAAGGACCAATAGTTCTAAGAAGGACTACGATCCGGTTCTGTTAATGTAGAACACCACTCATAAGGGTTTGGTTGAATGAAGGGTATTTGGAATTTATAATCATATGAAAATGTAGTTTTGGTGATGTGTGTATTTACAAACTCTACTGCACCTGTGTATGTCTATGTAGTCATATTATTTTTAGAGGTTAACTGACATGGAAACATGAAAAACACACTTTAATACGTATATTAGAGATCATGTTTTAGCTGAACAATTGGGTTTAAGGTGGTATTAGCTGCAGTTTACCTGAGGTCACAGAGGTCATGAAAAGGTCATATAGAATTTAAAATATGCGTAGTTTAGGTGATCATCTTCGTTAAACAGTAAGACATGCTCTTTAAAATGATATAAAAGCCTTGATTTTATTTAGCGCTGCCTGACACAATATTGAGCTACAGTCTTGTGAATAAAGATGTACATTCTGCCCCCTGGTGATAAAAACAAGTAACACGGTATTCTTATTAATTTACCAATATGCAAATTTGTATTTCTTAAAGCAAATTAGCATGCACATATGTACTTACTCTCCATCTACATACTGCATATATATATATATATATATACACAAATACATATATTTATATGTATATTTATATATATGGTATGGGTATATATATATATATATATATATATATATATATATATATATATACCCATACCATATATATAAATATACATATAAATATATGTATTTGTGTATATATATATATATATATATGCAGTATGTAGATGGAGAGTAATCTTGGTTCTGCAATAACTCGAGTCTTTCCAGCTGCAGGAGAAATTTATCTTTTTTTTTCCACTAAGAATTTGAAAATATTCCATGTTTTATTCCTTACACAGACATTAACAGCCCCCTTGTGAGAGCTTCAAGGGCCAACAGATATTTCCAGGACATTGTGCCCTGAGCCCCCGCTAATTTCCCACCCTGCTCTCGATGACTTTGCTGTCATATGGTGGGTGAAATGGCACATGGCGCCACATTCGGCTCCCACTGTTCTCCATTACTTTAACCTCTCTCACTGAAATAAACATATAGCCGCCCACACAGACAGAAGCACACACAAACACAAACAGATCACATTCACAGGGGGGCCGCTCCTGCAGCATGAGCCCTCCATAATGATAACACTTAAGCCTGATCTCTGAGGAGTGGAGTAAAAGTGATGATATGCTAAAGAGTGACTGTGCTGCACAGGGTTGATACTAATACTGTCATGTGTGGGAGTCGACTGTCACCTTACATAAAAAAGCCACAGACTTAAAGAGTACCTCGAGGCTCTGTGCAGAGGATGTATAGGATGTGTGGAAATAAAACCCTGGCCTCAGTCTCCTCTTCAAATCCCGACTCTCAGCTCAGCGTATTTAAAGGCTCAGAGGAGGAGATTTTAAATGACGGAGGGTAAACAGAGATGAAGGATGTGTTAAGTAAATACAGCAAGATGCACTTCCTGTTAGCACTGTGATGTAACAGCATTACTGGTCCAAATATGTTGGGTAGGTAGACTGTTTTTTTAAGAGAATACCCAGAGGTCTTAGTGACAGGTGAAACATCTTTTACTGTGGGAGTTATTTTGAGACTTGTTAAAAAAAAAAAAAGATTATTTTACCCCAATCCAAAAGTGCAGCAAGAGAGGAAAGTTCACCAATAAGTCGTCTCTTTGTTTATATATATATATATATATATATATAAAAACAACTTGTGAATCACAAATCGACACTGGTGTTAATTCTTTATGAAGTTCATTAAGGTTTCTAAAAGGAGGCCTCCATTATTTTTGAATCTGTGTGTACGCTGTAGGATTCTTTAAAAGCAGTAACTTTCTTTATTAGATGGAGAACAGAAATCAGATGGAGCAGCAATAACTGGATGTAGTCCTCACTGTAGATGAAAAGATGGAGGGGAAGGGAGGGAAGGGGGAGGCATGTCTCACCTCTAGGCATTTTGGAAGCAGCTGCTGTGAAATTGTCTGCTGCTTCTGTCTGTAACCTCTCCTCATACACTGTGGCTAATAGATGGGAAGAGAGAAGAGGAGGAGGAGGGGGGGGAGGAGGAAGACAGAAATATTTGGTGAATTGTCTTCTTCAGGGCATCATTTCGGATTTTTTTTTTTTTTTACTCTCTCTCATTTCTGACCTTATTTAACAAGCATGAAGCTCTAACGACTCATTTATCTGTGCAGTTTGGTTTCCGTCAGAGCCGTACCAGTCATTTGTTGATTTTTTTTAAAATTCACTCTAAAAGCAGTGATCAGTTAACAGTTAACATCATCTCAACATTTGTAAATCATTCGGTCAGAATGTAACAGCAGCACAGATGGAGACTGTTACTCATTGTAACTGCACAGCTAAATTGGATCATTTCTGAACTGTTACTTTTTTTATGCTAAAGCCAAAAAAATTCCAATATAAAATAAAACTATTTCTGCTCCTGGTTCGTGTAACAACTTTGGATTTGAGAGACGAGCAACCCCGACTTCCTTTTTACTTCCCTCCCTTCTATTGTCTCCAGCCTCTGTTTCCTGCTGTATCAATGCAGCAGTTTTACTGCAGAGCACAGAGATGGAGTGAACCAGGAGAGGCAGCAGCAGCAGCAGCAGCAGCAGCAGCAGCAGTCAAGGTGGTGGTGGGAGTGGGGGTGGGCTGAAAAGAAGGGAGTACAGTACATGCAGGGATGGAGTGTGGGAGAAACGTCTGCAAGAAAACCCTGGAGAAATGAGAGTCTAGTCTGGTAATGTGGGGAAGACAGAACAGACAAGGCACCAGATAGAAAGAGAGAGGGAGCACGAAAAGGAAGAGAGAGTGAAAGAGAGAGAGAGAAAGTGGGAGAGAGAGGGGTGAGGGCTGGGAACAAAAGAAATGACAAAATCTACAGTGTGCAACGAGATGGAGAGAGTGCACATTTGTCCTGATGGGAGTTCAGAAAAGTAAAGTGGGGGAGAGAAGGATGCCCGGGTGAGGAGAACATGAAGTGAGGAGAAACACAGAGCGGAGATTGGAGAGGACACACGAGTGACAGAGGCAGGTGGAGAGGGAGAGGGACTACAAATCAAGTCGGCCGCCTCATCACATCCTGTATCCCCCACTCGTCTCCCGTCCTCCCCCTCCGCTCCCACCCCCCTCACTCCCTCACTCCCGGTGCATCTCCATGGCAACCAGACAGGGTGCCTAATACATGAACTTAATATATTTCCAATAGCAGGGTGAGCTGGGTACTAATGCATTCATCTGTCTCCACGCAGACAAGCCAATCAATATTAGGCAAGAGTCTGCTCCAGGACTGCTGAAGTCAGACGGCTGCTGAGCCCCCCACCCCACCCCCTCACATGGATAATCCCAAATATGTTCCTCCGTGTGTGTCTCTTATTGTCTGTTACATCACTGCAGGTGTGTGGTCTCTGAGTCGACCACATTTAATGTCTTCCTACAACAACAGCAGTATTCTCACAGCGTTTACAGAAAAATAAAAGCTGCTTCTTCGAGCCCAACATTCAGGACAGAAAACGTCAAGTGTTCCTTTGTACAACTGCCTGTAACATCTGTGGTCTTATTCTACAAAAGCCGAGAGCCACTGCAGAGTGGGTAATGCCTTTGCCTTACAGTTAGAAGGTCATTGGTTTATATACCCAGGAGTAACTGCTGGTGTCCCTCCGTTATTACAGGGTTTTACCTCAGTGCTTTGGTTCACTACAAAACTGATGTACCTGTTTATTCACCTTGAGTCGGTTTGACACCACTCTATATACGACCCTGCGACGGACTGGTTAACTATCTAAGGTAGATGATTAGCCCCGGGCTGACGGCTTCAGGGATCATGTCATTTTCTACACAATGTTCGAAATACACATTTTCAATTTTTAATCATTTTGGTGCAACATGACAGAGTTCTACAGTAGTTTTTTTTTCAATGAAAGTCCCTACCATCTGGATTTTACCCCAAACGTGCTGCATCACCCGTTGCACGTTTAGATGTGTATAGACGTGTTAAGGGGAGTACGCAAAATTATAGAAAATTAAAAACCCAATATTTTATTTAAATTTTAATAAGAAAAAGGTTTGTCTCCCCATTCGATCGACAAGAACATGAAAGAAATTGTTTTAAAATGAAAGACGTAGAAGATTAACAAACTAATAACAGATTGCAACAAATTTGTGAAAATATTTTATTTGACACAAGAATAAACAAGACAAAAAAAATAAAGAGACCACAATGATTGATTTTCCAAGATGATATTATTGAAGCGGGGTCACGACCCTTGGCTGTCTTCCTATTGGCCCTTGTATCAAGGGTTTAAACACAAAGCCAGCCAACAGGGTCGGCCCCCTGAGAGAGATCTGCTGCCAGAGAAAAGTCCATCGTTTCCTCCTCCAACCTGGTGAGTCAGGTCCAGGACACGACAGGGAAACTGTGGAGTCATGCAGCTGCAACACTAAGAAAACCAATGAAGATGGTGAATATTTTAAAGTAAAAATATTTCACAAGTTTCTTTTTGGTCCATCATTTTACTACCAGGTTGTTGAAACTGAATGCAGCCCTGTTCCCGAGGACCTCACCTGTGACCTGCTTTGACCTCACAGGTTAAGGGTCTCAGGGACAGAGGGGCATACTGTGAAATTAAAATACACAGAGGATGATTTATTACCCGGCAGGGCAGTGTAATTAAAAAATAAATCTCCCAATAGTTGAGCAGAGAGGTCTTAAAAAAGAAAAAAGAAAGAACGCAGAGTCACTGCACCCAGACAAAGACGTGACCTCATCTGACGCCTGGATTCTGCAGCAGTGGCCGCTGCTGTCCTGCTGCAGAACGAATGCAAAACTCATCAGCGCAATTAAAACATCAAAAAATATTTCTCTACATTTTACTCACTTTTGGCTTCGTTTAAAAAAAAGAAAAAAATTACAGGAACATTTTTGTCAAGTAAATACCTTCAACAGTGCAGCTGAGCAGATTGCGGCGAAGACGAAGTAAACTAAGGAAGAACGGGTCACTTAGGAGAGCTCAAATAATTTTGAACATAAAATTCTAAATTGTACTGACAAAAAAAAATGTACACAGATACATTTAAAACAGCTTTAAAAATACTTGGCAAAATGTATATTCTGTTCTTACATCCAATCTGGATAATATTTGCCTCCAGATTATTTTTCCTTTCTTAAATTACACTTTCTACACTTCATCTTTCAATTTCTTAGATCTTTACTGTTACAATCTTTGCTAGTTGCTTTGCAGTGGCAGTTTTTCTAGTCAAGGGATATTCTACTCACCTGTAACCGTAGAATATTTTTTCAAAGTTATGCCGATGGAGATGAAGAAAAACCAGGTGAAATGGGAAACTAGGACAACAAAGGCATTTACTGTCGGTCGTCCTGCAATTGAAGCAAAAACACTTCTCTTTTTGATAATTTTTTTAAATATTAAAAAAAAATATATATTTTTTTATCGAAAATGTATTTCATGAAAGATACCACCCAGTGGCAGACAGCGAGAATGACAAAGAGTCGATTCGGCCGTATGTTCAACGAAAAAACAGGATGTGAGTAAATTGAAATGTTGGGATGATTGATGACTCATTGGGAAATCTGTCACTGGAAACACGTTTTCATCATGTAAATCATCTTGGCATGAATATGAATGAAGTTACACTGGAGCTGCATGACGTTCTGCATCAAACTGAGCTGCACTGATGCACCCTGCCTGAACCTACAGGTTGCACTGACATGTGCAACAGGCCTTGGGATTAGGAATTAGAGGAAAATCCAGGTTAGATTTCATACAACAACCTATGGATGAATTATGGATTTGTCTGCAGTGGAGGTTGATTTAACATAAAACACCTACATTTTAGACGGTGCGGTGAAATTGCACCACAAGAGAGAAGGGGACATGTCTGGGCTGAACAGCTTCTCTGTAGCTGCAGCAGCAGAAGATGAATGAATTCTGTACGACGCCGTCGTTGCCTGACAGCTGCGACTTCTACTTACTCAGCTTCCTGGTGGAAAGAAAGGTAATTAGAATCAGTCAAATTGTTTCATCTGAGATTTACACGTAAGACGCCGGGGCAAGAAAGTGACAATTAAAACGAGATGAAAATCCCAATGTGAAACGCAGACATGACCTGTCAACAACACACGCCGCGGATGCTAATTAAACGGCTTTTCAATGTGTGCAAACACATCACAGCTAAGCCTGAAAATACACAGCAGGAGGACTGCACACATGCAGGCATACAGCAAATGGACAAGTTCGAAATGTATCACATCTCTATATAAAAATTTACATTTGAGCGTAGAATTTACATTCTGAGAGAAATAATGAATAAGAAAAGAGTCAATCACCGTATGTCAGCTCCTTTTTCTCTGCTCTCCTGCTCAGAGTGAACCTCTGCTCCTCATCAGCTCGCTCGCCTTCTCATGGTCTACGCCGGGGCCAGACACAGAGCCCAGCGGCAGGTAGGTTACAGACAACAGTATTGATTCCATTATTCTTCTCTCCACCTACCCACCTGACTAACATCGACATCCGTGCTGCTCCTCACCTTTTGTCTTCGCAGGGTTGCTGTTGCAGACACGGCTGCAAATCTGGGAAAATGAGAGAGAGGGAGAGAGAGAACAGACTCTTTACTACTGCATTTACATGCCTGCTCACACATCACAGAAACAGGCAGACAGAACCCCCCCCCGCCCCCCCCCCACCCCCCACACACCCCCACCCCCCACAACAAC